ATCCATCCCTCCATCCTGCAGCTGGAGCAGGGCAGGGCAGGTCCCAGCCTCCCCTCAGGTGTTCTGGGATGGGGGAAGGTGGGAATACCTGCTTGGCAGGGTTTGTCCCACTTGGGATATTCTTGGAAGCACCTTCCCCCTCCCAGTGTCGAATTCCAAGGGGATCAGGATCCACTGACACACCAGGAGAAGAATTTCCTGGATCCCTTCGCTCACCACGCCAGGATCTGAGGAAAATCAATCCCTGAACACTTTTCTCCTGATTATTTCCCAGTTCATTGACAGTTTTCCACACCTGGCTCTTCCGTATCCCATGGCAAAACGTTCCTTGGTCTGTCAGTGCTCCTGGTGGAAATCTGTGGGTTTGGGTTCTGCACAGATCATGGAATTCTGCTCCCTGGTCCTGGGGAGCACAGCCACGAGTGGCTGGGATTGTGTTTTCCAGGCCCTTTCCCAGATTTTTAGGGATATTCCATAGTTTGCAGCAGCTCAGGATGCTCCCGGTGCCGTGGCTGGGATGGGATGCGTTGGGATGCGCCTCTGCAGGGATTTCTTCCCAATATCCCACCTAAATCTCCCCTTTCCCAGCTCAAAGCCATTCCCACTTTTCCTGCCACTCCATGTCCTTGTCCCAGGTCCCTCCCAGCCCTCGGAGCCCCTTTGGCCACTGGAAGATGCTCCAGGGTCTCCCAGGATCTTCCCTTTTCCAGGCTGGGCAGTCCCAGCTCTGGAATCCCATGGCCAGGCTCTTTCTCCAGTGACTTCCAGCAGGACTCAGGGAATGTTCAAGGATATCCCAGCCCATTCCCGATGGGGAGCTGCCCTGTTGTGTCTGGGGGTGCTTCCATCACCAGCTCCCACGGAATCCCAGTGGGGACCCCTCCCCATCCCGCTGGTTTTGGGTCTGGGGGGGCAGAGCTGGGGGAGCTCATCCCAATCCGTGGCTCGGGAAGAGGCTGCAGCGCTGGGCTCGGTTCTTTTCTTCTTCCCCGGGATTTTCCTGATGGATGTGGCGCTGGCAGGTCCGGGATGGGCTGGGGGAAGGGGAGAACTCTCCCCCTCAGATCCCAGCGCTGAGACTCAGCCCCTTGGCCCCGGAATTTTACCCGGCTGTTTGGGATGGAGGTATCTGGAACATGCCTGAAATCCCTCTGAAGAGCAGCACCAGCCTCTGGAATCCGGAGGGTGTTGGGAGCGGCGCTTCCAGACCTAAAATTAGCCCCGAGCCGGCACCGAGGAGGCCGGGTGTGATTTCCATGGATCCTCGGCACATCCATGTTCTTCCA